CAGGACCAAACCCTGCAGCACCCCATATTTGAGGGGCCTAGGGGTCGATCTCTGTCCTCCAACCAACACCGACTGTGAACTGTCCGAGAGGTAGGAGCAGAACCACCGTAAAATGGTGCCTCCCACTCCCACTTCCCGTAACCGCCGCAGAAGGATATCATGGTCGATGGTATCGAAGGCTGCTGAGAGGTCAAGAAGGTCAAGAAGCACTAGGATAGAGGAATGTCCTCTATCCCTGGCCCGCCAGAGATCATCGATCAGTGCGACCAAAGCAGTTTCGGTGCCGTAACCAGGCCTGAAACCCGAGATGGAGATCTGCCCGCTCCCCTGCGGCTTGGCACATTAGGGATACTTCCTGCCCGGCTGGAGAAGAGGGTTGTGCAAGCAGCACTCGCTCTAGGACTGCGCTCTATGGTTGTGGGCTGCCTGCTGGAACTCTCTGTAAGAGAGTCTTCCGGACAGGGAGTCTTCCAGCAGCCAGCCCACAACCATAGAGCTCACTCCTAGAGCGGCCACTGCTGGAAGACTCGGCAGCCGAGTTTTGGAGTTTGGAACTGGAGAAGACATTATGCTTAGAACACGATGGTGGCAACTGCTGCTGCAGGCAGAGCTGGGCCCGGACATGTTGAAGCTAGGAGGCATGCCTGCTGGGGGCAGAACAGGCACTTGCACAACCCCCTTCTCCAGCCGGGCAGAGCTCCATGCACTGATCTAGGGGGTATCCCTAATGTGCCAAGCCGTGGGAGCTGGGGAGCAGGCAGAGCGCCATGTGGCTTGGCGCCTTAGGGATACCCCCTAGGTCAGTGAATGGTGCTCTGACTGGCTGGAAAGGGGTTTTGCCAGGTGGTTGCTCGTGAGCTTGATCACCTCAGGGCTGCTTCGCCCCTGAGGCTGTGCCCGGCTCTTCGGGAGCCAGTTTGCAGGGGAGCAGCTGCCCGGCAACCCCAAAACAATACCCCCCCTAAAATAAGCCCAAGGCCATATTTTGTAAATAAAAAGAAAATAAGACCCTGTCGTATTTTCAGGGAAACACGGTACATTTGCATTACATTGTAGTATAATTTTTTAGCATGATGCAAAGACCACAAGTGGCTTATTAAACCAAGAGGGAACCTACAAGCTTCTTTTCTTTGTACTTCCTTCATTATCTGGATTGGGACCTGTATCTTGAAAGATCCATAACCATGTACTGTTTGCCTCTAGGGCAGGGGTGTCAAACTCAGTTTCATTGAGGGCCCCATCAGCGTGTTTGATCTTGGGGAGCCAGGGTGGGTGTGGCCAGCTTGACATCACTCGTGTCGGGGCTCTTAATGGTGGCCCAAGTGCTCTGCCAGCAAAAATGGGCTCCCAATCTTCATTTTCGGCTGTGACAGCCTCCTGCAAACCTCTGCAACAAAAACAGAGGCCCTCCCAAGCTTGGTTTTTGTTGGGAGAGGCTCCATGGGTCAGTCCATCACTGTTTCCAAGGCAGCCCCACAGACCAGATCTAAGTACCACTAAGGCCGGATCCGGTCCACGGGTCTTAAGTTTGACACCACTGCTCTAGGGCAAAGGGGCTATCAAAATGTCAAGAGAGCAGTCATAACTATGCAATTGAAATTCTACTGCTTTTTTATGTGCAATCCATGTAAATAAGAGGTAGGACTGCCATCTTGACTCTTTTTAATCATTCTCTGCAGATGTACCTGTTAGCTTCAACTATTGAGCTAAAAGGTTTGCTATACATCAGAAAATTAGCAATAACTTAAGTTAACACGCTTAACATAAAATAATAGTTAATTTCAATGTTAACTACCAAACTTGTAAAATACAAGTTCTACAATGATTCTATAATTTTGTACCAAAATACCATGCATATGAGGTGTTTTTTCTGTTAGTATGAAAATGAGGAAGAAAACAGAGAGACTAAGAAGATTCACACTGAACAAAAATGTTCCTCCAATTTACTTCCTTCCGCCCAAGTTATTTCTTCACCAAATCATTACAAAACCATTAAAAAAAGGTATGTATTATCTAGCTGCCTAATATTTTATATAAAATTGTTATTTAATACCAACAAAATTAAAAGGTGTCAAAATAATTTCCTGTTCAACTGCTGCTAACCTAGTTATAATAACTCAGTTTGATCATTATACTTATTCTTCATCACTTTTGTTATCCATGGTTTTGCTCCAACTAAACAGTGTTAACAATTAGATAATGGATATCAAGGCCTAAGAAAAGATTCTTATGTATTAATGCATCTGCCAGTTTGCATATGTGTAAAATATCCCAAAACATGCCTGGAATAATTGATTACATGAAACATTGTGCTAGAAATACCACAATCTGGTCAACATTTTCAAACTGTGAATAACCAGAATATGCATAATGATATTGATGTCATTGAATAATAATTGTGTTAAATTGGTTAATTAAAATTGCCACTTTGACATGAATTTTAGGATGGAACAGGATATAGTCAGAACTTGATTGGGGGGGGATACATTTAATAAATAAAAATATTTAAAATGTTATAATTTTATGAAATGACTTATATTTCCAAGATAATTCATTTATCATCTTTGATTTGTTAAAATGAAACTATAATGTATGACAATTCACTGTGACCAATTCGCTATGACCAACACACTACAATCAACTCATTATGGCCAACTCACAAAGGCCAACTTGCTGCAGGCCAACTTGCCACAGAACAACTTGTTGCAGAACAAAAATTACACTAATATCAAAGAAATGGTGGAATAAAATCATTAAAGGAGGGATGCAAAAGGAGGAACAGAATGAAATGTGAATGCAAAAATTAAAACAATTTTTAAATTTAGAACTTTTTAATTGACCCATGGCAAGTTGGCCATGTGAGTTGGCTGCAATGAGTTGGCTGTGGTGAGTTGGCCATAACCTGGCTGTGGCAAATTGTCCCATTCCCAATGTATTGGTATTTTTAAACTAGAATAGTGGATTTTTTCCTCTTAATAAAGTAAATTTTCACCAGTGAAAGTGGCAAAAAGAAACCATCCTTTTGAAGTATTTTTATGGACTTCCTGTATTTCAAAATCACACTTCCTGAAGTAGGTTGATCGTTTCATTTTGATTTCCTCGGTAGCTATGGTCCTGCTAACATTCTGTCATATCAATTTATTTGTTTATTTAAAATACTTCTGTGGGCCACCAATCTTTTACGCCATAATTCTGGGCAGTTCAGATAATAACAATAAAAACATAAAAACCATAAAACTGTAACAAAAACTCCCCAAATGTAAATACTCCACCATACATCCACATTTGATTCCACTGTGCCCCAACCCCACCCTACTCCAACTGAGCTCTTTAAGACCTTCTCAAAGTCCTGCCAGATCACAAGGGGAACATCGTTCCATGAGGGAGCAACTGCGATAGAGAATCTTTCTGGATGCTTGAATGATAACATTTATGGGAAGGGCCTAAAGCACACCCACCTTATCTGACTGGGTAGAATAATGGACTCTCAGTTCATATTAGGTGAGTTCTTAATTTTAGTTAGATTGAAGTTCTATGCAACAATTCATGCTAAAATCTTAGAAGAATTGGAACAAAACAAAACAAAATTAATTAATAGATGTAAGATGTAAGACCTCGAGGAACTGGTGTCTGCCAGAGTGTCCAGGTTGGAGTGATGAACTGATTTGATTTAAATGCTTCTTACTGTTAATTTAGGCAAAGATTTTAATGATGGTGTTGATTTACCAGAATCTATTGCAGACTGTCTGATTTCAGTCTCTTTCCTTATGTATCTTTCCCCATGGTCTACAGTCCAAAGCATAGCCCAACAAAGGCCCACTCCTATTGATAATGACACCACATGATAGTATCTAGGAGCCTCTGTGTGTATTACAGCTTAAACTATGTGTATAAATTAAGGGAGGTCACAAAATAACATGGGCATGAGATAAAGTAATTGTGTTTAGTATTACATGCGAAATCATAGCCATCAGGGAATAGCTAGCTCAGCTGTGTTTCTGCATAGCCTCAGTCCTAATTGCATTAGCTAACTCAGTTGATGGACTAGCAAGAGGTCACAGTTAAAAAAAGTAATTTGAGTGCTTAGAAATAAAATTTGATAGTGGCAGAAATATTTTCTTGGGAAAGATAAAGTATGTTTAGTGGATATGATGATGATGAAGGTAATGTAGTTTGAAGTTTACTCTCTGAAAAATTGTCTAAAACAATTTGAAAAAAACATTAAAAAGCCATATCCAACATTTAAAATAAATAAAAGCAAACTTTTATTTTTAAACATTATGATTAAATCATAATGGGTATTTGTCATTACTTTATACATACCCATCTTGCTATTCCTTTCAGTCTAAACAACATTAAGCAAAGCACAGAAAATAAGTTTAAGAAGTAGCAAAGAAATAAATGATACAAATTAAAGAAAAGACAATATAACTAAATTTAGTTCACACCAATCTTATTCCCTAGACTTCTCTATACTTTTGTACCCTTGCAAGCTCCACCATTCTTTCCATTGTATCCCTATATTAGTTTATACATTGAATTTTGCTCTTTAAACTTAATAATAATATTGTCTTTGAGATATCATCTGTGCAAGAGCCAGAGCATCAGTTCCTTTGGACTATGTAGGAAAGGAGTCTGTAATGCTTGATGGCTCTAGAAATAGGCCTTCTAAGGGGGAGAAAAAGATACAAGCAGATAATTTGTAACAGGAGTGTATTGAGAAGATTATTTGGGCTCAGGGGCTGTGGATTGCCCTGAGATGCTTGTAATAATTAGAACTTGGACTATCAGATCTGGGCTAGAAAAGTCCACATTTAGCAAAGAGATACACAAAGATCTCTTTGTTTCTATCTCATGGACATCCAGTTTTTTGCAGTTCAGACCTCTATTAGAAGATTTGGTTTATTTTCTTTGTTGTCCTCATTAACTAGGTTATTATACTGTATATTTCTGGCTCCATGGGTTTTGTATTAATAACAATAGCACTTAGACTTATATACAGCTTCATAGGGCTTTTCAGCCCTCTCTAAGTAGTTTACAGAGTCAGCATATTGTCTCCAACAATCTGGTTCTCATTTTACCGACCTCAGAAGGCTAGAGCCCTGAGCTGGTGAGAATTGAATTGCTGACAGTCAGCAGAATTAGCCTGCAATACTGCATTCTAACCTCTATGCCACCACGACTTCTAAAGTTGTTAAGTTATATTACTTTATACATTGAATTTTGCTCTTTAAACTTAATAATAAGTTTAAAGTTTACCAAATGCAGAGAAATTCCAGCTCCCTGTAAACACATATTCTCTGTTGTAGTCCATGTGATTCTATAAACAGTCACTTATAACTGTAAAACAGTGCTGCACAGCTTACATTTATTTTTAAAAGCCACATTTTATTTTCCTTCCAACCTTTAAAGCAAGTCTTCATTTCTATATAAGTATTTTTAGTATACATTAACCATAAATTTGAAGCTTGCTGTAAAAGGAAAGATGAGAAATGTGGTCGAATTTGTCCAACAACTCTTGGTACTCATGTTAAAACCTCTTTCCAGAAAAAAAAGAATAATTAACCAAGTTCATCATGAAGTTATGGTAAAGCTGATAATGATCATAGTATATAAAAATATGTGTTCCTCATTCTGAGTGTTTTGACTGTTCATTATTGTAATTTCCATTTGTAGTTTGGCAACACCAATAAATAAAAATGAGAATATGCTTCAGTCACCTAGTTCTCCCTTCTCTGATGCATCAAAGTATAAATTCTGTAATGATGATTTAACTTCTAGCAAAACAAATGGCAGCAACCCTTCGTCTTCCACATCCTCAAGTAGAAAGCACAAGAATGAGATTAGAACTTATCTATATCCTGGAGATTTCAGTGTAAGTTCTGATCACAATGTATTTAAAGTATTTAAATATCCATTATTATTATTTTTGTTTATAACCCTCTCCATTTAGATCAGGGTGGGGAACTATAGCTATCTCAGGAATTCTGGGAGTTGGTCCATAGGTCATTCTTCACCCCTGATTTAGATGGTCTTTCTTAGGGTCCCACCCCCTTTAGAATTTGATTATTGGGTGAGAAAACCTTTGATTCTACCGACATCCCAACTTTGTATGCTGGCATTATTGTATACTATTTGGGGAATGGAGAAGAGTAAAAATTTGCCTGAGACAATGTAATATGTATTTCCTCACTATCACTTTCTCTCTGTCTCTTTTGGTAAACACTCTCTTCTGATATTGGATTTATACTTTAAAAATTATAAATAAATTTAAAAAAACATTTATTTCTATAGTGCCTTTAGAAATGCTTAGCTTATTACTTTGCTTTTTTTTCAAATTTAGAACTAAGAGGGCTGATTAAATATGGAAAAATACACAGTATATTGAACCTGCCTCTAACTGCTAGAACTAAACTCTCTTCATCTATAGTCAAACTTAGGAAATAGAAGAATGGTAGTCCAACCTATGATACAAACAGGGATATGTTTACATTGAAATCTCATTTTGTAAAGCTGTACATATTTCACTATGATTAATCCTATTCTTCTGTGAGTTCAATAAAACTGAAACATCTTTGTAATCTTGCATAGAATTATATCCTAAAATTCATAAGATTATGCTCAAGTTGTCATCTTATGCAGAGGTGGGTTTCTACCAGTTCACACCGGTTCGGGCAAACTGGTAGTGGTAATTTGGCCTGGGTTGCAGAACCAGCAGCGACCCAGGCTGGCTATGCCCCCAAACTGGTTCCCCGGTCTCCGCTGCCGTTGCTGGCATGTTTTTTGTTAGCTTTTCATGATCTTCACGCATGCGCAGAACAATTTACAGTGAACTGTGCATGTGTGAGCACGTGCACGAAGCGAACCAGTACTAACTCCATACCCCTGATCTTATGCATATATTATCTAGAAGAAAGTTTTACTGAATTCAGATACACTTTTTTGATAGATGTATGTAGCATAAGATTCCACTGAAATAATTCTCTGAGCCAAAAGTTATATATAGGAGCGATATCTGCAAATAGATAGGGTTATTTATTTTCTCAACATGCAGTTGGAAGGTTTATAAATAAATACAAATATCCATACTGAAATGGTATGGCCTATTGTTGTTGTTGTTCTGAACTGTAATTGTTTGCATCCATAAAAATATTGCATGGGGCAATAGTTCCTAAATGTAATAATACTTCTAAACTTGTTTACAATTATTATTGATGATTGAATTCATGATTAGTTCCTGATTGTTAATTTTACTGTTTATTCAGAAAGCCATGTATATCAGTTCAGAAAATACTCTGTTCTGCAACAGGACACAGTGCCAAAAAGAATCATGGTCATCTATACTGACTGTGCCCAAAATCTGTAGGAAATCAAAACTTATAGTTAATAATGGGTAAGTTAAATGTTTCTTCTGTAGAAATCTTTCCTTCTTCCCTTCCTTCTTTCCCTTCTTCTGTCTTCTCTTTTCTCTTCCTCTGCTTCCAGCCTAAAATAAAATGCTCACGACAGCGCATCATAAAAGTGGATATATGTGGACTTCAAATGTACCTATAGAATTGTCTTCCATGCTTGTCAGAAATGCTTTGTGTATGTGAGTCTATGCCTATGTGCCTGTGCTGTGTGTGTGTGTACATTTATTTACACTACAACCATTGCAGAGAATTATTATGAAAACAGTACTGGAGAAAAACATTTAAATGACACTTAAATATTTTTTGCAGTTGATCGTAAATAGCTTTTAGATTATGTTAAGTAATACTATTGGGAGTTAGAGAAGAAATCTGGTAAATTAGATTTCTCAGATTAAAACGATAGTAGTGAAATGATATCCCAATAATTCAGGTGATATACATAATGTTTTTATATTTTATAATAGGGTTTCTATCATTTAAGTGATGTCATATTTTATGGTATCAGTGATCTTGCTGATAAAACTTCCAAAGATTTATCAGGTCAAACAATTTACAAACTGCACCTTTGTCTCTATAAGAAATCTTTGCTACAATTAAATTATTGAGATTAGGCTCTTAGCCTTCTTGGTTTTCCTTAAGGAATTTTATTTTATTCCCTTTTTTGCTCCCACATTGTTGGAAGTCTGTAAAGATGGTCTATAGAAAAAATGTTTGCCTCTTCCTTTGGTAATTCTTTGATAACTATAATTTTTAAACCAGGTAAATACACTGAACAATGCGTCTTTTTAAAATATGAATGGTAAGATTTTGTGGACTGCTTTGGCTCAAGGACAACAAATTTAGCTACCTTTGTTCATTCATGCTGGTTTCATTAAAGCACATCATGCATCAAATAATAAATTATTAGCAGATCCTTGATACATAAACACATTAGACTCAGAAGAGGTTGTCTTGGACATCAAGAAAATCTATGTGATTGTACAAATTATATTTTTAAAATATATTTTGGTTAAACTTGATTATTTCCTTAAATTTAGTTGATTGGTATTCTAACCCACCAGCAGAGCTTATCTCCAACTGAATTAATTTTTTATCCTTTAGGAAGTTATGTTGAGCTTATTAAAGATGTCTACTCTCTCCTTTTACTTAAGTTGATTTTATAATCACTGCTCTGCTTTAGTAAGTAATATAAGAATGTTCCATGTAGCAGAGTGGCTGGAGTGGAACAGAATTATATGTTGATTATATTTATGCCTTATTGATCATTTATTTTATATTTCATTCATGAATATTTAACTACCTTTATTCTGAATAACTGTGGGTTGTAATGATTGTCAACATTCTTTATCAAAACATAATGTAATTGCTTTGCTCACTGTCCTAATGGCCTGACCCAAGAGAAAAAAAGCTCAAGAGAAAAAAAGAGGTTTCCAGAGCAGCTAGCAGAATTGGGGCCATGAGTGGATTTAATATTCCATAAGACAGTTGTATGCTTTCTGGGTCCCATTAGATAACATGAAGGAACTTGAGGCACAATTGTAGACAATGGAGCCCTCAGATAACCAAGCCCTATTCTATGAAGACATTTGTTGTGTAGATGGCAATCAATATGTTGAATGCAGAATCCTTACTGGGAGCCCAGTGCAATTCATCCAGTGAAGTTACAATAGCTACACCAAGATGCATCATTTCCATTTCTTGGTATGTGTAGCCCTGTGTAGAGTATATTGTAATAATCCAGGCAAATATTTTAAGATATTTAACTTCAAATCTTAAATTGCAATGTAGCAATGCTCTTAATTAGGTTTTTCACTTTTAGAAACTTTAGAATACATCTCATTTAAATTTAAAAAAAACTTTTACCAAAAATAGATGATATTTTGCATCTTAATTATATGTTGTCTATGGTGTTTCTGCATAGTTTGATACCTTACTTTTGCCTAATTTTTCTACTATTATTTGGAATCCATAAAGTATTGAGCTCATTTTTGTTTTGGAGATACCATTAAGTAAAATGTTTTAATATACCATACAAGGAATATATATATATCAAGCGGGTTTTTTTCCTTATATTTCCTTTCATTCTAGATTGCACAATTTAGATTATTTTATGCAGGAAGCTAAAAGAAAAAAGCATAAAGCAGATGCAATGGTAAGAATGCTTGAATTTCTGATACATTATCCCAATTTATCTGTACAATAAAACTTTCTTAGGAAAACTTTACTAATACTAATTTTTAAAACCTCCTAACATAAGCATATTTTACTAGCACTGATTTAAATATAATCGGATATGTAAACAATTATCCAAGATCAATTATCAGATACTTTTGAGGTAAATTAAAATTTGAGATAGTCCAGTTCTTTTTTAAAAAAGTATTTTATGGGTGTTAGACTGCATTGGTTTAGCAGACCCCATTATCAAATAGTTAAAGAGTCATTTGTAAATTAAAATGCTACAGGCCAGGCCTGGGCTAAGATTTTCAGAAAGCAGTTTGATCCAACACTGATTTCTTTGAATAAGTGGAAGATACAACACTATTTGCAAATCCTCAATTTGTTCTATAAACCAGAGTTCCCCACCCTTTCCAGCTTTGAATCCCAGTGGGGGGAAGGGGGAGGGAATGGTTCCGTGTGAGCAGTGAGCAAGTGCACGTGCACAAGTCCATTTGCAAAAATGATGGGCACATGTAGCTGCTGCTTACGCAAATCAGGTATGTAGGTATGCACTTACCCGCTGCTCATACCACTTCCGTGGCCTGGTTACAAATGGCTCAAGGTCCAGTAGTGGGCCATGGCCTGGGGGTTGGGGATCCTGACATAAGCAATAGTGTATTCCTCTCCCTCCTCCCCTTGAAAAGTTGCAAAAATATCTTGCTTTTCGGAAAACTTGCAAGAGGAAGGGGAATTTGCAATAATCACCCTTCATTCATGAAAACCTCTGCTAAACTGCTTAGCCATTTGTGAATGCAACCACAGCATTAGATACCATCACTGGATATATCTGCAAGCTTCTCCTGATATCAATGGGCCTTGATTTAATAATGCCAGACATGTCTTCAGTACAATATACATGGGAGAATTTCTTGCAGCTCTAGGAAAGAGGCAATGGCAAACCACTTTTGAAAAAATACATGCCAGGAAAACTGCAGGAATTTGTCCACACAGTTGCTAGGAGTCAAAACACTGTCTCTCTCTCTCTTTCTCTCTCTCACACACAAAGGATAACATGATTACTGATTAAATTAGAGGTGTTTAGGCTTCAAAGATTTACTCTGATCTTTGTGCCCAAATCATATATAATACAAGGTCATGTTTTTATAGTCCTGTTTCTCATTGCATTTATTTCCTGTGACCACTTCTATCTATATTTCCCCGTTTCATTTGTAAATACTACAGATCAGTTTGGCTGCACTGGTGTAGACTTTATATTTCAGCATATAGCCTGAATTTGTTTTCCTTTTTTCATGATGTGCCTTACTGAGCTAAAGATAAAGATGCCCTCAAACTAAGCACATCTCCTGCAAACATCCTTGCAGTTTTTTTGGCAGCATTACAGAACTGATGCTTTCATCCAGGGCATTTGACATCCCAGTCTATCCAAGAGCTCTGGAATTTGCAAATGGTCTCACAGCCAAGTACTTATCACAGCTGACTGCTTAGCCACCAAAGTTAGTTAGGGGCTGCCACCTCCTGGATCTTGATATGTTATAAAACTCATAATTCACCAGATATTCCTATCTTCTCCGCTGAGAAATTTACCAACTACAGATCCAGAATCTTAAATTATAATTGAAAGTTAGAATAAAATATCATCCTGTTCTGAAGCTGAGATAGTGGTTTCTTGGTTCAAATTAAATTAGATTAAGTAGACACTTTCTGATTTAGCAAGTACCTTGACGGCAAAAATCTTATACAAATCTTAAAACAATCCAAACATCCTTTTTTTTTTTTTTTTTGCTAATATAAATATTCTGCCTCTAGTATAGAAAACATTAGTAAGAACTTATTACTACTCCAGAATAGATACAAATACATTATTTTGTCATGTTTTTCCTGCTGGTTTTGTCTTTAAGGTGGAAAAATTTGGCAAGGCACTAAATTATGCTGAAGCTGCATTATCATTTATTGAGTGTGGAAATGCCATGGAACAAGGACCCCTGGAATCAAAGTCCCCATACACAATGTACGCAGAAACTGTGGAGCTTATCAGGTGCGTTTCTGACAATACCCCAACAATTGACTGGCTCTTGTGCTCATACAGAATACAGGTAGTCCTCTACTGATTTCTTAACAACGATCCAAAGTTATGATAGACACCGAAAAGCTACTTATAACCCATTTTTGAAGTTTAAATGGCTGCACCCCCTCCCACAGTCATATTTTAGGCATTTGGCAACTAGATCACCTTTACAATCATCGGCAGCATCCTGCTATTTGTACAAATTTCAGCAAATGAATTCACGCATTGTGAATTATTTATCCCCCAAAATACAACAATTAGAGGCTTCTTCTATTTCTTCTTAATTTTTCTGCAATGTAATGAGAAAATTGGTCTTCATTACAAATAATGAGAAAACTTGTAGCTTGCCTGTTTACTACTGTACAACATTTATTCAACATTGATCAACTTTTACATTTTTCTGGGAAGGAAGACTAGTAATCTTAAAAAGACAGTGTAGATAGAATTAAGGGAGGCGTCCTCGCCTCTACCCTTCTGCTCCTTCTGTATGGCTGCAATACAGTAAAAGTAAAATAATTCAGATATATTATTGTATGCTGTCTGTATTCACGGAAGGAAAAATAACCTTCTGTACTGTTTTCCTTGGAGAAAAATAGTTAGGCACGTATTTCCAAAATAATATATGAAATAAAGCAACATTTTACTTTTATTTACTGGGCCTTATATGGTATATTATCACTCAGTAGACTGATCCAATCCAACAGGACTCTGGTTAATAACAACAATAACAACAACAACAACAACAACAACAACAATAATAATAATAATAATAATAATAATGATGTGGTGCTATTCCAAAAGCACTGGAATTACATTTAAAACAGTTAAAAATTGACAAAATCACCATCAGTCAAATGCAAAAAGCCGCACTGCTTGNTGCATTGCTTGTAAGAGTTTTTGTTTGGTATTTTGTTATCTAGTCGGAGACTTTATTTATGTTATTTTTGGGCTCGCAGCCAGTCGGAGCCGAGAACTGATAAAGAGAGTTCCTTTAAAGTTGCTTGCCTGTCGTCTGTTATTGAGCCGAGAAGGGGGGACAGAACAATAAACTATCCTTGAAGCATAGATTTTAATGATCTAGAAATTCATCTCTCTGTCTCTCTCTGTCTCTGATGTGTTTGTGTGTGTGTGTTTATGGATATGGATATATATATATATATGTATGTATGTATGTATGTATGTATGTATGTATGTATGTATGTTTGTGTGTGTGTGTGTATGTATGTATGTGTCTATGTGTGTATATATGTATGTATGTATGTATGTGTATATATATATATATATATACACACACACACACACACACACACAACCACACAACCACATATACACACACACACATACACAAATGTGCTTTAAAAATAAGTTAAAATGGTAACAATTAGCGATAGCACATCCAATTTGTGGAATTTAATCCAAAGGTATTAGATTCCTTCTAAACAGCACTGATTTGCTATCATAATATCTTTCTTGCTGCAGAACAGATAAGTTGCTCTCATTTACATATTCAGTACACCTGGGAAGGTTACAGGATGAGTTATGACCTGAGATGTTTAATTCCATTATAATACCATGCAAAGCAAATTGGAGATAATTCTCATTTGGAGGTATATCACTAGAAAATTGTTCTGTTCCTTTTTCATTTTCAAGCAGAGACTACCCTCTGTTGGAATGAAAAGGAAAATCAAGTTACTATATTATTAATTTATCTAAGATTTAAAATGTGACAGGTACTATAGATATTAAACATTTTACAATTTTAACCTTTCGTTGTTATTTCCATTTATTTCAGCCACGTAGCAATAAATGCTACCTAAGATTTTCCCCTTCCTTTTAAGCTAAGAAAAGTTCCTACATTTTTTGTTAACTTTTTTTCAGAGCAATAATCTTTTTATTTGCAAACAATGATGCTGAAAAAATACTTTCCTTGGATATTCCAGGATCCTTCTGTAAATAAATACATTTCAGTTAAGCCTTAGTAAAGACATAAGAGGGTTAGTGTTATTAATACATAATCTGTATCCATGACTGTATCAAATTTTATGTATATAATCTCCCTAAATTTTATAAAGTTGCAATCCCACACATTTTGGTTCTTAGTGATGGAAAGCTGTCCTAGACAAAGACATTAATATAACAAACAAAATAACTGCATACATTAAGAGCAATGCTTGCTGTATTTTCATCTCCTTTCCAATTTTAACATGTATATTTAAGTAGAGTGTCAGAAGGGTATTTGTATTTTATTAAAATGGAAGACTTTTTTAGATGTGTTTTCTATCCTTTCCTTATAGTTACCGCTGTTTGGCACTTTTGTACTGGAGAATGTTTCAGCTCAAAAGAGACCATGCTGTAAAATATTCAAAAGCTCTCATTGAGTATTTCAAGGTATGTTCCTGCTCTGACGAACCCCAGGCCATGAAAGCTCACATACTGACTTTACACCAGTGTCCCTTTCTTTCAATCCAGCCTACCTACCAGTATCTTTTTTTTAAAAAAAAATGTTTTTGAACAAGGACAAACAAACATAAAAAAATAAATAAAAGAACCATCTTCCATTACAAATTGTAGAAAGTGTATCAGTTGGTTACAGTATTTTCATGCATCTCTTCCATGTCTTCCAAAAGTGGAAAGGGGGGACATAACTAAGGCAGATTATCAGCAAATAGCCCGAGCATGTAAAGATGAAGTGAGGAAAGCTAAGGCTCACAATGAAGAAAGGCTTGCCAAAAAAGTAAAAAATAACAAAAAAAGCTTCTTCCAACATGTTAAAAACAAGNCAAAAAGGCATTTGACTCACTGCCACATAGTTGGATCATAAAATGCTTAGAAACAACTGGCATTAGCAAAAATATTACATCCTTTACTGAAAAGGCTATGAAACAATGGAGAACTGAGTTGGCAGTAGGGAATGAGAATTTTGAATATGTACCATGCTTTACATCCACAAAGTGACATCAAAAGGTTCATTCAGGGGCTTCAGGAGGCTTCCCTGAAGGCTCCGGAGGGCAAAAGCCAGCCCTACAAGCAAACTGGAAGTGATTTCCGATTTGTCCATAGGTCCGTTTTTCACCCACCGGACCCTTCAGAGAAGCTCCTGAGGCATCCGGAGGGCCCAATGGAGGCTGTTTTTGCCCTCCCCAGGCTCCTAGAAAGCCTCTGGAGCCTGGGGAGGGTGAAAAAACAGTGCCAAAAGCAGCGGGGGGTCACTGGTCACATGCACATGGGTGTGGGGGAGGGTCGCATGCATAGCATTATGGATGTGGCACACCTGCGCATGACCCCCCTGTGGTTTCCCCGCTTTTGGCACAGTAGCCAAAAAAGGTTCGTCATCACTGATCTATGCAGCGATGTTGACAGACTCTACTTGCCAAAGAAAATAGGTGGTTATTGAATGTCATAAGTACATCAGACAGCTGATGAAGAATAAAGGGTATTGGAAAAATATCTGAAGGATAATGAAAAAGATACAGTGAAGCTAGTATACAAGAAGTCCTACTGAGTACTGGAGGGACCAAACTGGCCTATAATAAAGACCAAATAAAAAACAGAAAAGCAGCATGGGAAGACAAAGCATTGCATGGCCAGTGCATTAAAAAATAGCACCGAAAGCAGATGATAACATGACTGCAAATACCTGCAAATAGAAATAGAGTGACTATGGTAAAAGAAAACAAAGGTAATGCCAATAATTGTAGGTTTCTTGAGTGTAATTCCAAAACAATTGGAGAACCTCTTGAACACCTTTGGCATTGACAAAATCACCATCAGTCAGTTGCAAAAGGCAGATTTGCTCACAACAACTTACATCCTGTGACAATACCTTTATCATTAAGGGTCCACATCTTCTGTCTATCTTCATTCCTTGGGAAGGACTTGATAGGTGGACAAAAATGCCAAATCCAGTCTGAATATCTGGCTGACCATGCAGTCAACCATATTATTGAAGAAGAAAATCAAGGGTGCCAAGAACAAAACATCCAATTGCAAGGGTGGCGGTTTCTAACCTACATTAGATCCCTCCTAAGGTTGATTTGATTGTTATTTAATTACTGATTGTGAAGATGAAATGGTTTTAGGCCTCAGGTCTGTGTTCTGCTGATAGTTTTGAAATTGTTTAATAAATTTTGTTATTTTTTTAATTTTAAGGTGCTGTTCTTCACCCTGAGTCACTGCTTGGGATGGCCTGTGGCCATGAAAATAGTATAAATAAATAAATAGATAGATGATAGATAGATAGATAGATAGATAGATAGATAGATAGATAGATAGATAGATAGATAGATAGATAGATAGATAGATAGAAAATCTAACAAAAATATGAAAACAAAAATCTGCAAAAATGTATCTATAGATGTGTTGTCCATTTGTGCTTATGTGTTTAAAACTATAAAAGGAGAAGCCACACAAATTTTCATCTGAAAAATATTTCACATTTGGACTGCAGTATGCATATTTATAGTATGTTTGCAAAGCAAGAAGGGACATAAATGAGATTGAACACTGTAGTAAAAAAGGTTAAATACGGAAGGGAGACTTGAACCTCATATGAGCTTTGAAAATCTTTGAAGTGAGTGAAAGAATGAGAACATCTAGTGAAGTGTCATACAAAATACTATAAATGATGGTAATTATAAAGCATTTTAATTAATCAGAGATAAGTCACTTTGAGAATTGGAGCTAACTGAAAGAAATGATCAAATGTGATGACATTAATGGGGAAAATAGCAGGAAGATAAGAATTTCATAGTCAAGGAAAAGAAGAATAAACAGTGCCAGGGGTTATTCATCTAAGCTTCATGAGGGAAGACTTTACTATGCTTTGTTAAAACTGGCAGGCAGACAGACCCAGCGGTATTTTTGAAGAGTTCCCAGTGAAAGGAACACAGAGGGGGAGATGATAATGAAATTGATTAGCCGTGACAAGTAAAGGTTGCATTTCTACATACCCTTAGGTAAACTTAAATCCTACTGAGCTATATAAATGTTCATTTTCATTTGTTTGTTCGTTTGCTTTCCTGACTTGGTTTTCCATCTTCTGCAGATATGCTGTGAGACTAAAAACCCACTCAGGTCCCAGTATGACATCAGAAGAAAAACAACTAACAGCATTATGGTGAGTAAATTAAAATGTATTAAAAAATTCAATTATTCAATCCTCAAAATGGAATGTTATAATAATTAAGCAAGTAATACCAGATTTCTCACTGCCTTTTGTCTGGTATTGTTATATAAGATCACAACCATCACCTTTAAATTTACCCTAGAAACAGATTGCTCTTTAATGCAGATAATTGTAATATTAACATCAATCTAGCATTTTTATAGAATATTTCAGACATCTACAATTTTAAGCAATCCCTCTGGCTAGTATTAATATATTGGTTGTTATATTAGACTAGCTGAGTCTGTTTATAGACAGCCCCATGTCTAATTACAGAAGTTTTGCCTCAGTGCAAAATTGAGGTTGCTTTTTATAAATAGGAGTAAAGTTGGTTTGTCATCCTTAACTAATCAGTAGTGTTCCTTAAAAAAATTACAGGCTACAATAGCCTCTTTTATTGGCACAGAAGGGTCTTTCAGTTTATCTCTGCCTATCTCATTTGAAATCTTAAAGTTCAATGAATAAATATTTTCTTTTTCTTTGCTACAATATCTCTCATGTTTCTAAGGGGCAATGTAAGTAAAATAATATCATTCAACTCTAAAGTCCTATTTCCCCATATATATATATTTTAAAAACTGTTAATTAAAACTCTAAATGCTGATTGCCCATTGTGGATTCTCAGTGGCATGCTTCCTGCTGAGTTAAGCAGAGATAATAGGAGGATTATAACCCAGTAGATTCCCAGGAGTAAGCACACTGAGACAGTGAGCATGAAGAACAANTCCAGAGCTGTCCCAACTTCAGCAGCTTCATTAGCTGCGTTTCTGTCGCCGGAAAAAAAGGGCTATTCCTGGATCTTTCAGGGACTTTGCGGTGTCCCTGAGATCAGCAGGAGGTGCCCTTCTCAATCACCGTCACTGCGGGACGGTTTAGGTCCAAATGGACCGTCCAGCGGCAGAAATTCAACTGCAATCTCGGAGCACCAAGATCGTCATGACGTCAGCTCTCCTTCCCCTACCGGTATCTTTAGTTGTGTTTGTGATGGAGGAAATTGAAAACAGGAATGCTATGGTGCCATCTTGAGTCTTGGAGGAAAGGCAGGATGTAAATATAAGAGATAAACAAATTGCTATGTATTATTTTACTGTTAGGTTTTATTTCATTTTTCTGTTCTATCATCTATTTGGTATTGTAACTAGAAATTGCACTGAGTACTACATAAATATTTTTATCCATATCATAATTTGAGATGTACTTTCTGCATATGGATTCTAAAGCTTTTGCTCTGTTTCTCTCCATGGTATTCTGCGGTAAATGCTTATTTCAATTTTTTGTATTTTTTTCCTGTCTCCAGAATTCATCTAAAGTTTCTCAGGCACCATCTACCTGGAGTGGTAGTGTGAAGTAAGTTTACTATTTTCTGCCCTAATATGCTCCTTGCCTTCCAGACCAAAACATTTCAGATGGATAGGAAGCTAATACCAAATGATCATTCAGCCATTAATGCTCACAGTAGTTCCATCTCTGGGTACTTTGAGATAATGTTTCATTGTTGCTGTTAACCTTTGTTTATGATAACTCCTTAACAATAAAAAAGAGGCACTTTGCAGTTTATTTTGTTTTTTAAAAAGTTAAACAAAGGTAACTTGAATTGAATGTGAAGATTACTTCACACATTTCTAGACAAGAAGCCTGAGTCTGCCACAGAAGGCTTTCTCAATCTGGAGCCCTCCAATTGTGTTGGACTATAACTCCCATCATCCCCCGGCAATACTTAATTCAACAGGCTGGAAAATATGAAGGGCATGATTCAATTTTAAAAATTTCTAATTTTATATATGTAATAAATTAAATGTGCAAATCTAATTTACCATTTGTCTAAAAATGCACGCAAGTGAAATAAAATATTAAAAGACTGATGTCTGCAACCTGAAAGCTGTCTTTCTGGTAGTCTCGATTCGTTTGTCCTGCTTTATAGCTTGAGACAACATTAACTACATGTTAAAAAGTGCAGGGGAAAAGCCAGATTTATCTCAAAGCAGGACATAGGCTAAAAATGTGTTAAATCCTAAACTGGATGTGTTCTTAAAATGATTTATTTTTTACTGATATTGTGTATACTTGTAATAGCAATAGCAATAGCACTTAGATTTATATACCGCTTCACAGTGCTTTACAGCACTATAAACAGCACCCAGCATATTGCCCCCAACAATCTGGGTCCTCATTTTACTGACCTTGGAAGGATTGAAGGCTGAGTCAACTTTGAGCCTGGTGAGATTCGATCTGCCAAAATGGAGTCAGCGGGCAGTCAGCAGAGGTAGCTTGCAGTACTGCATTATAACCATCACGCCACCGCGACTCTTCATTGTTGAATGAATTGTTGAATTGTTGAATATTGTTGAATCGACTGTTGTTGAATCCACTGTTCCAGGTGTACAGGAACTCTTTCTCCCATATCACCCAGTTTGTCTCCGCTGAGCTCAGTTGGGAGCACTGGAGCTCCTTCCCCTTCCTCCATCATCAGCATTCCTCAGAGAATACACCAGATGGCAGCCAACCATGTTAGTATCACCAACAGCATCTTACACAGTTATGACTACTGGGACATGGCTGACAATCTTGGCAAGGAAAACCAAGGTGTGTGATATGAAACAATTGGTTGAAACGCTAAAATGTCATTTTGACCAAAAATTTAAGTCTAGCACTCTAAAATCCCACCTTTGTTGATACAGCAGGCTTGGGTCCCGACCTAATTCTGATATGGCTTCTTACCTTGGATGTTCCTCCCAAAGCTTCAGAGATAACCCCTCATATTGCAACATAAGCAAGAAAGGAATCCCTTTGCAGCACGAGTCTTAAAAATCTCCAGGATTACAGCAGAAGCGGGCAGTCCCTGAGTTACATTTTGATTTCAGCACACAAACATTGCCTGGAATCTTCTATATATCAGATAGAGTGAGAGAACTTTTGTGGTCTTTCTCTTGTATGCTTCCAGAAGCCTAAACAAGTCCTTAGGTGCTGCATTGTCCTTGAGAAAGAAAGTCTAGCATTTGCACTGGCCAGCCTCCTGGGTCACATCCTTTTTGCACTCTTAATACTAGCTGGAGCTTGGCATACTGGTGCATAGAGGCAAAACCTAGAAAGGGACATTGATGGACAAGAAAGAGGAACCAAAATGAGATGGCAGAGAAACGTTCCCCATTGTTGTTTTATAGTTAAGCAAAATTATGACAATAGCTTCTCTATTTCTCAGTAAAAGTGTTCAATGCATGCTTGATTAAACCTTTGAATATCAGTTAATCTTTGCTTACAATACTTTCATAAAACATTGTCTGCTTGGGATTTCCATATCAATGAAATACCTGTTGCACAGCAAGGATTAATGGGTCTCATTTATTTTATTGTTTTCTTTCCTAGATTTCTTTAATGATTTGGATGCACTGATGGGAGCTATCACATTGCACAGCTCTATGGAGCATCTGGTTCAGTATACACATCAAGGCCTTGACTGGATAAGGTGTAGTGCTCAGTTATCCCCATGATGGTTCTTCTCGTCTGGACACTAAGCTCACAATACAGATAATTAGTTATTCTAGACACTGTGCTACAGAAATACTCAACTGCAGCATTGCTTCAAACACAATGTGAATATTTTGTTAACATTGGACAATATTGTTTCAGAAAGCAAAAATAGGTCTGGGTATTATGCAAATTTGTCTTTTCCAGGCCATTGTTCTTTTAATTATCTCCAAATATCACTTCCTCAGCAAGAAAATTAAGCATAGCTACATTAGAAAAAACTCTCACACATACAATATACACATTCCTTCAATATTTAGAAAACCAAAGCTTAATTTTATGGATTGATTTATTCAAATGTAGTACCTGTTGTTAGCAATCTCTTAGAGCAATTTTTCCTCCATATTTATAGATCTCTATGTCACTTTTGTAAAGAGAGACTTAATGAATGATTAAGGACAGCTTCAGTGACAAATTCTGAGTAAAATAAAATAAAATGTAAAGTACACATTACATTTTAAAAGGAACTTGTGGCCATTGACTTTGCCAGGCAATACTTGGATGCCAGTTTGCTTGCAAACTTGACTCACCTTCTTCCTATTGCATTATTAAGTAGTAACCTTGAAATTGGGAGCATTAGCAGTTTTGGAGTTCTAGTGTTCAAATATGCATTTTTTACAGATTTGTTTGACATACGATATCAGAAAAATGCAACATTGAAATACTAAATATGTCTGCAACAATTATCCTTGTTAGTGAAACAGTATGTAGAGCATCAGTCTTCCAGATTAAAATTCTGTGGCACCATTGGCAGCCTGATCAAACTACAAGCCCCCCCCCCTCCATCCATACTTGTGAGTTCTTCATGATGGACCCAAATACACAGAGAAGAACTGCGACCTTTTGTGCTCTTAAACAGTTCAGCTCTTAAAAATGTTCAGTATTTGTTCTTCAAATCTTGTTTTTTATAAAGCCAGATTTACACTTTTGCAAATAGTTTATTAAGCAAAAAACGTATTTTTAAAGAGTAAAGAAGGGTGGAGTGAATACATATATCAGAACAAAACTTTGTGAAAGTGTTAATTTTTATGTGGAAGAGCATTTCAAGGCCAGCTGTAGCTGATTCCACCCAATTTCAAAGCAAAGGAGCATTTTAATATACAGTTTAAAATAACAGCTTACTTGTAATATGTTCCCCTTTATTGTATCTATTGTATTACATTCAGTTCTTCTATCTTTGCAGAAAACTGCTTTACTATCATGCTCTGATGCATCAAGAAGGGCTCCATTAGACTGGTTCATCTGAGGCACCCGATGGATCCATTTGGTTTCCAGAAAGTGCTGGAGAATTCTCTGAATCTTTGGTGGACAGGTCATTCAAGCTTTGGTCCCTTCCTGGAATGAGCGTAGATTGCACCGGAAAGCCACTTGGTACACACCAGGGGTGGTATACACTTACCTTCCCTACCGATTAGCAAATGTGAGCGCATGTACCACCTCTGCTCGTGTGCAGATCCTTTTGCACATGCACTTTTGGTGAAAAAAGGGCCTAAATGGGATGCCATAGAGCCAAACACAGGTGGGCGGAGCTACCCACGATTTTAGCTACTGGTTAGGGCGACCCGGTCCGAACCAGTAAAATACCACCTCTGGTACACACTGATCTAGGTGGAGAAAAACAAAGAATAGGTCCAATCAAACACTTTTAAAAGCCTATGTTAGAATTTAGGTCATGCACTAAGGGTGGCAAAATGTAATTATTTTTCTGCACAATGCATCTGCAGAATGTAGTTTAGCAGTCTTTTGTAGAATGATTATGTAATTTTCTATTAAGTGAAAGAAAGGCATTCAGAATATTTCTGGGACGGTCCTTCTTTTGTTTTCTAGTAAGTAATCAGTAAAATTTTACAAATTTAGCTCACTCTGTGACGTAGCTGTACAATTTTGTCACCTTGCCATAAGTGCAATGTTTGTATAGCTGTGCTAGTCCAGTAGAATGGCATTCCTACTAAGGTTTGAATGGTTTAAAACCCCATTGGGCTTCTGTAATCTGTGAAAATTCAACTTTTCAGAATTCACTGGTAGTCTTTCCTGATTGTTTAATCCTGTAGAATTGGTTATTTTCCCTGACATATGATCAGGCAGCCTTATGATCTGTTTTGTTACTTTATTGCTGTTTTATGGTTCTTTCAACCTTAGCATTATAAAGCCATTTTCTGTGATTGAAGGGATCAAAGGTATATAATTCAGGATCCTCTGTTAAAAGAGGCTCATAGCAGATTTCTACGCTGGGTTCCTAAAATGCCAAGTTCTGGAATAATTGAGTAAATTAAGTGCTCATTATTGGAAACTATAGAAAGAATTGCCATTAATTTATATAACTAGTGTAATATCATATATCTTAGATTATAGATAAGTTATGTTTAAAAAGAATAAACTCGAGACTATAATTAGGCAAATAAACATTTTAAATTATAGAAAATTACTGCATATTATTCGCCCATTCTTGATTTAAGAACTAATAGAAGGGAAGATGTAGATTTGCAAACAGAAAAATAATAATTTATAGAGCTACTTCCTCAACAGAATTATCAATAACAAGGATTGAAAAGAACCTTAGAAGTCATCTAGCCCAAACTTCTATCCACTGTAGGAAGTGCATTATTATAGCATCCCAAGCCGATGATGTTCCAGCTTCCAATTAAACATTGTCAGCACATTTAACTGTGATGGTGAAGGAAAAGTGAGGATAATTGATGTAGCCACACTGGAGGATAGTAGATTAGAACACAAAGAACTGAAGAAGATATGAAAATAAAAATTGAAAGATTATGGCATAAATTGGCTAAGATGGTCCAAGTGGTAATCGGCACACTGTGATCAAATCAAATCAAACCAAAATAGCTTGGATGGCATGTACAAAGTTTGCTTATTGACAGAATTTCCCTCTATCAGTTGCACAAGGCCACACTCCTTGGTCCCACACTGATATTATGCCGATAAAATACAACATTCTATATTCTTGGGATGAACTCAACGTGTACAAAGGCTAACACTAGCTAAAGAATGAGTAGTTGTGATATGACATTACTATGCATATAGTAATCAGATAATATCTGCCTATCCCAGGTCCTTGGGAAGAACTTGATAGGTAGATAAAATGCTAAATGCAGTCTAAGTATATATTGACTATGCAATCATTTTTATAAATCAAACCAACAATATCCTAGGACAGCCTGCTCAGACAAATCAAATTCAATTGGTTTAGTTTATTTAATAGTATGGTGATAGACCAAATACATGAAATTATAAAAAGAAGAAAAAACCCACAGATATTCATTGAAAGCCAATTTGTGCCTCAACTAAGCACAATTAAGTCCAGAAATGTCAGATCAGATTTCTGGAAGAACAATTAAGTCCAGAAATGTCTGACTGTCATTATGATAGTACAAAACTTAGCTACAATTCTAGGGACTCCCAGTTGGATTGTTTAGTAGGTAATGCACAATTGCCATATGAGAATGGATAGTTTGTAATGAGAAAGGAGATAAGCACTGCCTCCTCTAGGATTATAGACAGAGCAGTTCAGAATTACGTGCAGTACTGTTTCAATTGCAGAATCTGAGTAGATACACACATTCTATGGAATGAATGAATACTGCTGAAGCCACCCCTGAGGCAAAACATCCAGACTTATCAGTATGAAGGCCCTCATTTGAGCCAAGGTTATTAAATTATATTTGTAGTCTGCTGCAAACTATCCACTATCTCAACAACTTTGATAAAATTCATGTTATAACTTTATATTTTTACCCTATGAATCTTAGTCCGTTTTTAGCACACACTTTCTCTTAATTAGAAAGCAGACTGAGTCATGGTTCTTTTGTTGCCAGCATGGTTATGGAAAACAGAAGCAACAGTTAGTTTTCTTCTAAGGCTTTGCCCAACCTTGTTCACATCCAAGCAGCTTAAAAGTACATTCCTTCTGTATGGCATTACAGTGGCATGTTTTTATTGTTTACATTGAACAACGTAATAAACTAAAATATGTTGTACAGTAATTTATGCTGTAAACTATATGTGTGTGTATGTACATTGAAATCATTTTCCTCCCAGTCCGCAAAGGTGCTCCAGAAAGTAACAGCAATATTTCTTGTATGACGTGGACCACTCTCTTGCTTTATTTTCCAAAAGTTGGGGAGATAATTCTGGGTAACTGAAATTAATTTGAATATATATATGTATATGTATACACACACACACCCGTATATGTGTGAATATATTTGTGTGTGTGTGTGTATAATATGTATGGTATGTATATGTATATATAGTATTTTAATTATTTTATACATAATTAATTATTTATAACTAAATTAGAGTAGCAATGTCAATATTCATCCAAAGACTACATTGTCAATTATAAAAGACAGCCATGCTAATTCACTGACGTAACACCAAGTCAAAAATGTGTACATTAAAACTGTATTCAAACAAACAAATAGGTTCGTGTGTATCACAGTATATTTTTATCGTTTAGAAAGTTTTGTGAATTCAGTTGTGTTGATTAGTTTATGACTCGGTGTGCTGTATAAACCAGGAAGTGGGTTTATTTAATGACCAGCTTAAGTGTATTGTATGATCATAGCTGATATGTCTACAACTCTCCCAAGCAATATAACAAAGACTGCAATAATATCTGCACCACTATCAGTGAATGCTTCTTTACTGATCTGAATGAAACCAGATGTTTTATCCTAATGAGTCATTTCACATATTACTTTACTGGTATTTCCTTTGAACTACATTGGTGTAGAAAGGTTCTAGTTTCTTGAAGTTCTGCCTGAGCCAACCATATATCTGACAGAGCAAATAGTTTATACAGATATTGGAACTCAGTGTTCTCCCCAAACTGGATGAAAATTATATAATATTCACATCATTTCAGTATTTTTCTGCTTTCTGTATCAAACTGGCTCCATTGCTGAACTGTTAGAAGCAACGTATTGAATCTTATTTTACAAGAAGAACAATGTGAGAGATACGTTTACATTCTGTTCCATGGCTAAATTTTCATGTACATTGCAGTGACAAAATTATTGACAAATTGTTCCGATGCTTGTATTTTTTGGTCTTTCCGCCACTCATTCAAAATTCATGTAGCACAGTTGCTGGAATGGTGAAAAAAAATCCTACTGTAATGTAACAGTATGGGCCTTAAGGATTTGTGTGTATGTTTTTTTTTTAAGAAAAAGCACTTTTATATTTAAAAGTTAATATTAATTCATCAATAAGATTACTTTTTTAATGTGAAAATAAATCATTAACTCAATACATGTGACAATATTTTTTCCTCTGGGTTTTTTGTTTTGTTTTGTTTTGTTTTCTTTTTTGAAAGCATCCTTTGAAATTCAGCACATAGGCTTGTTTCTTTTCAATGACACACTTGAGCTTTGTTTTCCTGCCCCGCATCTGAGTGAATGAACTTAAGGAGGAGCCAAGAAATGGTGCTTCTGCCAAGAGATTTGGAGGGGTGCTTCAGTCACTTCACATAGCATCTTGCAGAATAGTTCAGACTTTATCAGTTACCTGGGATCTGGACTCTTGGAGATTTTAGTCACAGATTGAAAGTTATTGTATTGTATTGTCCCAGATTTGCTTTGAAAAAGAAGCTATAACTTTATGGTACTAATTTGTCAAGCCAACATGTCTGCAGAAGTCAAAACTGCGTAAAAAATTGCTTCACTCAAAGCATCTCAAACACACATTACAAAAAGTTGAGGCTTCATTACATCACATTCATATTACAAAGTGAATTTACATATTACAAAGAGCTGTGGTTTCAATCATGCAGGTTTTTTTCTGATAAGTAGAAGTGTATTACTCCCCATTCCCTGCCTAGGATGTATCTGTATTCTATCTAACGAAGGAGAGCAAGGTTATTCATGTTCCAGAATTACCAGAAATGCTAAGTTATTTACTGACAACTAATTCCTGAACAAGCATGAGGTGTAACTTTCACTTAATGCTCAATCTGTACGATGTTAAAAGTGACTGGTCAACAATGTTAAGTCAAGAGAATTCCAAATGGTCAAGTGTCAAATTTCTTCCCATTCCTTTGCAGATATTACTCCCCAGATATTTCATGGATGCTCTCTAGAAAATGCTTGCTAATCCAAGATCAAATAAAGGGACAGAGTTCAATGGTAGAGTCTTGGCTGGGCCTGCTGAAGATCCCAGCTTAATTTCCTATCTTCCCCATCTAAGGTAGAACAGAGCAAAACCCATTCTGAAACTTTCAAGGGCATCTGCCAAGGATTTTAGGTGATGCAGAGATAGATGTGCTGTACTCTACCATGGCAGTGTCTTATCTTCCTACTCTAGAATATGGGACTCTTTGCTCAAGGATGTGTCAAACTAATGCGAAAAGAAAAAATCTGAATCGCACCTAGAAGAGAAATGGGCGATGTTATTGTTTTTAATAGCCATGTGTCAAATTTTAATTGACAAGTCTTTTTACTTCCTTCTCCCCAATGTTAGCAGAAGGCATCATTTTAGCAATATAGTATAGTATAGTCTTTACTGTCATTGTACAAAATAAATACAACAAAATTGGTTGTATAAAATTGCTATAACTCTTTCAGACTCCATGAATCTTTGACTTGACACAATATTCAAATATTTCCGAGTTTTGTGTTATTCTGTCTTAAGCTTTCATTTTTGTAATAGTAATAGGGTTTACATAACTCTCTTTAATGGGCTTTACAATGATGTGTTTTTGTACAGTCTTCGACACAGCAAAATTATTATCTTCACATTAGGAACAGGATCAGCAGAAGTCATGGAATATGTGAAAGTCTTATTTAATGCCATACCCATTACACACCTGATATGCATGCCTTCCTTTCTACTTTTTCTCAGAACTGGATGGATGTGCAAATGGCTGCCTTCTATATTTATACTTGGGCATGATGTATGTTCTTTTAGCTTAGCATGTTGCCTACCTCAGCCATTATTTATTTATACATACAATATTAATGGTTTACAGTTAGAGTGTGAGATATAAACTATGTAATTGTTAGCTTAGACCATAGTGTCTGGAAGGGACAGGTTGAAAGCAAGAAGAGATGACTTTTATAAGGCCTTATTACGTGGAATGTTGCAGGGGTTGGTGCTCTCTTCTCTCCTATTTAACATCTACATGAGATCACTAGTGAATTCATCCATCACCATGGAGTATCATCAGTATGCTAATGATACGCAATTGCATATCTCTTCTCTTGGTCAATTAAGCGCTGTAAATATCTTATATGGTGCTGTGAGGGCCTGGATGAGAAAAAACAGGCTTCAACTGAACCCTGACAAGATCAAGTAAGTTTGAATGTTGGAGTTACCCAGTTCTAGGATTATGCCTTATTTGGTGTTAATGGGGTTGCACTACCCCAAACAGACCTCGTGTGCAATCTAGAGATCTTCTTGGACTCGAGACTCCTGTTTGAAGAGCAGGTGGCAGTCCTGACTAGGAGGCCTTTGCGTAAGTTTGTATTGTGTGCCAGTTGTGTCCATCTCTAGAATGAGGGGCTCTTGTCTACTCACTGTCACTCATACCCTGGCTACCTTCTGATTGGACTACTGAAATGCATTTTGGATGAGTATGCTCAAAATATCTGAAAATTTTAGCTGGTGCAAAATGAAACTGCATGAGCTATTTGCAAGGAGCATTGGTTACCAGTTTGTTTCTGGTCCAATTCAAGGTGCTGGTGTTGACCTTTGAAATCTTTCATGGCATAGAACCAGATTTTCTGCCTCTCTTTGATTTCATCTTCCCATCCCATTAGGTCTAGCAGAGAGACATGTTATGGGTATTATCAGCTAGAGAGCTACATCAGGTGCTAGCCAACAGGTCTTTTCTGCTGTGGCACATGCACTGTGGAATCTTCTCCTCCACTCCCACCCCCACCCCCAAGAGATAAAGACAACCTCATGTCTTCTGAGTTTCCGAAGTTCCCTTTATACCTGGTTATGCCTACAGGCCTGGGGCCTCTAGGAAATGGGTGAACGTATCCGGTCGCTCCCTTATTATTAACATCAGTTCACTTTCTATTTATTTGTTCTTGCTCCATTTTTATAGGTTTTCTTAATATTTTTAGTTAATGGTGAGATGGTTGATCACATAAATTGGACAAATAAATAAATATAGTTCATACTTGTATTTTAATCTCCAAATGTATCCACATCTAAATTGAATCTATAGAGAGTGACTAAAAATGACCTGCAAGAAATGTTATTTATAAAGGAATACTATATAGCAGTGTATGGAAGCAGTCTAAGATGCAAACAGGCTAGGCTATGTTCCTGCAATGCAGTACTGTCTTATATGAGAAAGAAGAGCTGACTGGCTTTAGCATTATGCAGCTGGAGTAATGTGATATTTCCCAATTATATTCAGTCGTCCTAGCAGTGTTATCTGGTTTCAACAAGCTTATGCTGCCTTACATTGCCTCCCAGATGCTGTTCCTTAGTTCAAACTTCTCAAAGCTGTCGCTGCTATCACTGTTGTTAAGCTCATTTTCAAAGAGATCCAAAAAATTTATGAGTTCATAAATCACAGAACGAAGGTATTTTCATGTGGATGGCTCTTCGTGGCATCAGTGCTATCAATCAAAAAGCATGCTGCACAATTTCTGCTTTCCTTTTGCCAGATTTTTTTTAAATTAAGGGAGGCATGGAAATTAGAAGTAGAGTAGCAGCAGAGAAAGAAAAATGACAGAATAATAGGTGAAAGCAATGCTATCTTGACCACACCCAGCCTTTATGTATTGTACAAATGAAGTATCGCAGTTACACAATAAAAGCTCCACCTAACAGCAGCCCAAATCACATTTCTGCTGCAGCATTTTCAGCATCTTCAAAGAGATTAACAGAGATTTGGATAAGGCTTTGTTTCTGATCTAGGATTTAGATTTGCAGAAAATGTTTATACCAATATGAAGGACAGGATTTACTTTGCCTGCTTCCCATTTTAATTAAATAATATTTTTTAAAAATGTGTCAAAACAGATACTGGCGACAGAGACCACTTTACCTATGAATAAGTTTGAAGCTTTGCAACACAAGAACTTAGAATGCTATAGTGGTTCTCTTAAAATAGCCAAACCTGTTCACAACTGGAGGAGAACCTGGATGTTATAGGTCAGTGATGGTGAACCTTTTAGGTGTGCCCAAACCGAAAGTCGTGCGCGTGCACCAGAGCACCAGAAACCTGACGATCAGCTGGCTGGTACACGTGTGTG